ATCCTTTTCCTGAGCATCAAGTTGCCCTTTTCCATGTTAGCCACGTCCTGAGCTGTTGTGGGTTTGGTTTTGTTTGGGTTTTTGGGGGTTTTTTGGGTTTTTTTTTCCTTTTATATCACCCACCTCGTGTTGATCCACCCCGAATTTCTCCAGCCCCTCACTTCCACGGGGTCTCTCCGCACCGTCAGCCCTCCTGCATCCTAAAACATCAGCAAAAAACACCAAGTTCAACCTAAAACCAGGAGCAGCTCAGTGACTCTAGGCAGGACATGGTCCTGGGGTCAGCCAAGCCAGACCCCCGTGGCTCTTCCCAATCTCACTCTTAGCCAAAAATCTCCAACCGTTTTGTAAGCAGCTCGTCTTTAGCAGGTCCTGACTAACCCAAACAGTTTATCCGTGGGCTGGGGAATGTCCTGACGCCGCATCCTGCTTGGGTTATCGTGGCCCCTTCTAAACAGTTTATAAATAGACCAAGGTAAATGAGGGCGATTGCTGCTCCTGAAGAAAAAACAGGATTTTTTTTATCTAATTTCTTTCTTTTTAAAGCCAATCAAGGAGGACCCATCCACTTGCTGGCTCCTAAACCTCAATTTTAATCTGCTGTTTCTTTCTCCCCTTTCTGAGCTCTATCTCTAATTTTCTATTTTATTTTATTTTATTTTTTAAAGGAAAAAAAAACCACCCAAAGACAAATTACTTTGGCAGCTTGACCCCCTCACGTGCCGGCCTCGGCGCAGCGCTACCGGGAAGGTTGCGGTCGTGCCGCAAGGCGCCAGCCGGGCTCAGCATCAGGATGACAACAGGGTGGGTGCTGGGGCTGGTGATGGGAGAGAGCAGGGACCTGTAGCAGGAGTTGCAGGTTTGGAGGGTGAACGGCTTTTTACTTTGGGGAAAAAAAAAATAAAGTGGAATATTGGAAGGAGGGGGGGGGAAATATGGAAAATTTGGGAAGTAATTGGGAAAAACTGGAAAGCAGTGAAAAAAAACCTGGAAGCATTCTTCATTCCACAATAAAATTTGCCCACAGCTGCTGGTCTTGCAGCAGGTGGGACAGTCACGGATGCAGCGTCCCACCCTCGATGTCCCCTCGGAGCCATAAATATCAACTCATTTCACAAGTGACAATCAGAGAGAACCATTGTAAGGCTTCCAGAGTTCACAGGAAGGGCTGACAGCGTGTCTGTAAAACTCCCCAGAGGAACTGAAGCCATTTCCAACCATTTAAGAAGTAAAGAAACAGGATTTTATGTGCTTTTTTGAGCAGTATTTCTTTCCCTCCCCCCCATTCTTTCCTCTAAAAGCAGAAGCGATTTGCAAAGGTGAAGGACCTGGGATGGGGCTTTGCCTTGGCCAGCAGATGCAGCTCCTGAAGCAACGTGGCTGCACAGCAAATAGCACAGGGAAGAACCCAAAGCCATTTTTTTTATTATTTTTTAAATTTTTTTCCTCCATTCAGGCTGAAAATTTTCATTTCCAGCTTGTTTCAATTAATTTTACGACTTTTACATTCCATAAAAGCTGAAGCGCTCATTAAAGCCAAGTTTTTTTCCTATTAATAACACTTTGAAACAACCACAGTACAACTCAGCCGGTGGCTCTGGCTCGGCTGCACCGGGACCTCCCGTGGGGACAGAACCATGGGGACAAGAACCTCTGTGGCAGCTGAGGACGGGCACACTCATCACACCCACTGGCCCATCCCATGGTGGGAGCATCGGGATGGGGTACGACTGGGATACACTCGCCACCCCATAGCATCCCACCCTGAGGGGTGAGGAAGCACTACAGGAGGAATATATCCACCTGCACCCATAAATACACTAATTAATAAATAAATTCGTTTGCATCTCTATAATTTTTGCTTCTATAAGCAAAGCAGAGGCAGCCAGGACTCTGGCATCACCCACAGCCAGTCCAGAGGAGGCCACCAGGATGATGCGAGGGCTGGAGCAGCTCTGCTGTGAGGACAGGCTGAGAGAGTTGGGGCTGTTCAGCCTGGAGAAGGCTCCGGGGAGACCTTCTAGTGGCCTCCCAGTACCTGAAGGGGCTCCAGGAAGGCTGGGGAGGGACTTTGGCCAAGGGCAGGGAGTGAGAGAACAAGGGGTGATGGCTTGAAAGTGGCAGAGGGGAGATGGAGATGAGACGTGAGGAAGAAATTCTTTGGTGTGAGGGTGGTGAGACAGTGTCCCAGGTTGGCCAGAGAAGCTGTGGCTGCTCCTCCCTGGAAGTGTTGAAGGCCAGGTTGGATGAGGCTTTGAGCAACCTGGTCTAGTGGAAGGTGTCCCTGCTGATGGCAGGGGGGTTGGAACTGGATGAGCTTTAAGGTCCCTTCCAACCCAAACCAGTCTGGGATTCTATGATTCCTTGCCCTCACAGCCAGCCCTGGCTCCTTCGGTGCCTGGCCAGGGACAACCCCAGCTACAAAGCTGGCAGTTTCTTTGATCTCAAAAGATCAAAAAGCGACATTTCCCTGCCCCATCACGGCGTGTCCAGACGTTTGATGGTCAGCCAGGAAGCGTGGAGCAGGACGTGCCATGGCACATCCCTGGCAGCTCCAGCTCCTGTGGCTGGCAAACACCAACCCCACCACTGCTTACCTTTCCAGATGTTTCCATGTGCTCAAACAGGTTTAATTTCCTGAAAAAATAAACCAAACCAAACCAAATCTAAAGTAAACAAACTAAGAGAAGCTGTGAAACGCAGCCCTGAGGCTCTGCACCTGCAGCACACACAGGAAAGAGGCATCTTCTGGGATGTCCACACAACCTACCCTCCCCGGTCGTGTGGGGTTTGGATGGAGCTCAGGCACTTGTGGGCTGCTTTGAATTATTCAGTGGCTGGTGAACATCTAAGAGCTGAGCAAGGGCAGGAGGAGCTGAGCAGCCTCTGAGGGAGGGTGGAGAAGTCCACAGGAGGTGTTTTCTACAAGGGAAAACCCACCAGGACCTGCTGCAGGAGCAGGGAGCCGACAGCAGAGACCTCTGCCTGGGGTTAAACGAGCTGCAGTTCCACCAGATCTTGTGTCTTATGTCCCAGACACGTGGGTCTCAGGTGTGGCTCCCAGCGACGTTCCCAGCCACATCCCGTGCTTGGGCACAGCAATTTTGATGCCAGTGACGTGTCCTGGCCACCCCACCCAACCTCAAATGAGAACTGATCCAGCTGGGTGTCCTACCAGGGCTGGGTAGGGCTCCTCCTGTGCTCCAGCATGGATCTCCCTCCCCTGCCTGCTGTGATTTGGGAGTAGCTGCTGTTCATTCTCCTCGACTTTACCTAGAGTGGTATCCTACACACTGACAGACTGGGGTTTATTTCATTATTTCCAGAGTTCCTACAAGCACAAGGAACATTTTAAGCTTCATAATAAACCAGCTCCTAGAGCCACGAGACCACGATCCTGGTGTGAAGTGCTGCAGGGAAACAAGAACATGTGCTCTCACCTATAAACATGTAAATGTGCACGAGGGGGGAGACAAGTGCTGTACCCCACTGCCTGCAGCTGCACGAAGGATGCCCCCAGCGTGGGACTCCAAGGCCTTTAGACACTGAAGAACAAGGTTAAATGTTAAATACAGGCTGTTTTCTGTGTTCCATGAGTTTCTTGTGCACCTGGATGCACAGCAGCACAGTCAGGGTTACAGGCTGCTCCCGTGGCTGAAGTGGGGCCCTTTGGCATCTCAATTCCAGCTGCTGCAGTGCCAACGGGCTGGGATAAAAGATTCAGCAGAGGGGAAAAGTTGTGGAAACTCATCCTTTGCTTCACAGAAAGCAAATTTTTAGTACAAGCCAGATTTCCCCAGGATATTCCTCCTGCTGAGCAAAACCCACCCAGAAAGCAGGACTGAGGAACCCTGAAGGATATTAACTGGAGACAGAACACAAACCTGAAACTCAGGGCTTGATACCCAGGTTGGGGGCACGATGTTTAACCAACAGAGCTCAGGGATTATCCCATCCAACTGCCTCCCTGATCTCAGTGGTGCCAATGACTCTGAAGAGCTGAACACCAAGGTGATGCACCTTCAAGGGCACCTGTAGTGGTGCTGGGAGGGAGATGTGTGCCCCAGTAATGGAACCAACCCTACCAGTGCCTGGATAATCCACTTACTTATCCTAAAGGACTAATTTCCACGAAGAACTGCTATGTCTCATCCATCTAAAGCATTCTTCATTCCACAAGAAAATTATTCCACACAATTTAAGAGTCCCAAACAAGGGTAAGCAGACCCTGGAGTCTTCCTCAGACAGCATGAAGACTTGTTTTTGTGCAGGGTCTCGCTCATCACAGCCAGCTGTAACTCACTGCTTCAGCCACACAAAGAGACCCAGACAGCAACCAGAGCCAAGAGCCCCCTCCCAAAACCTCCTGGAGCTACAGATGGAGAAAGGGAGATGATTCCTGGCAGACTGGGAGTTCCCTGCCTGCCCCTTCAGTGTGGGAAGGCCAATGCCAAGAGTGCTCTGCTGAGAGGAGAGATGAGTTGGTACCATCTGAGAAAGATGTCTGCTGGTTTTTATTAACCAGTGAAGGGGGCTCAGACACTCAGGTATGGGAGGAAAAGCAATGTGGGGAGCAGGCTCAGTCCCAGAAGTTGTGGGATGCACGGCTCAGGCTGCTGCTGAGCTGTCTCCATGTGGAACAGGGCACCTGTTTGGGGAAGAGGGAACAGCAAACCCTCAGAGCAGAGAAACTACCCAGGAGGACACAGTGAGCTGGGTGGCACTTGGGAGCTGAGCACAGGCACGGAGGAGTGACAGCGAGGGGGACGCGGGGACAGTCACAGTCTAGTTGCAGTTCTTGGGCAGGCGATAGACACCTCCAGAGTAAATGAGTTGTTGGTCTCGGACCTTTTTCTGGAGGAAACCCTGCAGCTCTTGGATATCAATTTCTGTAACCACCGGACCTGTCATCACAAACATCTTCAGCATGCTGTGAATCCTCTCCAAGGACAGGCTCTCGAGGTTGGTCAGCATAGCCTGGATGTACGTCCAGAACAGCTGCAGAGGGGGAAAGAAAAGGAACAGAAAACCACCCTGACATCTGCACCATGAAGAAAAGGGGTGATTTAACATCCCACATCCCAAAAGCAGAGCAGGGCTGTGGCTGGCAGTAAGTTCTGCTCTCAGCTGTCAGCGTGTGGTCTTTAAATAGGAAATATCTGAGAAGAGCATCAGGTGTTGGGACACGCAGCCAGGAAGCAGGAGTTGACGTGCAGGACGTGCATGACCCTCAGTGGATAAACACCAGAACGACAACTGCGTGTTGCACAGTGACACAACACACAGGCAACGTGACACACGGGTGGGAAAAGCACTGGAAGTGTCCAGGAACCACAACACAGAGATGGCAAAGGTCCAGCTGTTAGTGCTGAGTAAGCCTTTTTGGCAGTTTAAATGCTAAAAAGTGCTGCTTGGGTGAAACCAAACAAGTTATGACTATTTTGAAATGTGAAATCATGTCTCTGATTTTTTTCTTTTTCTTTTTCTTTTTCTTTTTCTTTTTTTTTTTCTTTTTTTTTTACTTAAAAAAACAGATTTGGAGATGTTCACGTGGTTGCCTGGCTCAGAGCTGGGCACTTTTCTGGAGGTGGGATCCAGCACCTACATCAGTGAACGTTAATAAAGAGATAGCACTTTAAAAAACCCCTCCTGCTGGACTTGGCCACATGCAGTGGAAAATGCAAATCCAAATGCAAATTGAATCCATCATCTTAATCAGATTCCCCAAAACCATAAGCCTGGGATGTTTGTATCGCCCTGCTGGCTTCACAAGCAGCCGAGACACACAGATGTGTACCTGCAGCTCTTCCTCTTTCTGGTCAGCCTGTGATGCCATGGCAGAGTCACCCTCCTCGTCACTGTCTATCAGAACAACCTTCTCCACCTGGTCCTTCTGCTCCTCCTCAATCACAGTGAAGGTACCTTGGGGCTCTTCACGCAGGACACCCTGCTGCAGCCACAACGTCATCTTACGCTTCAGTGATGTCACGGGCACCTTCAGCACTTCACTCAGCTCTGTCAGCGTCCACGTACCTGCAGAGACCACAGAGGGGAGAG